GCAATTGGGTATCATTCACCAAAGCAGCTGACATTGGAAGAGGACTGGGCAGTAATTCACTGCTGACTCAATCTGAGCTTGCAGGCAAATGAAGCCCGGGCCTGTCGTCATCACCTCCTCCCCCCATCCCCTCCCCATGGAGAGCCTATGCTCTGCGAAATGAGGAGCACAGACTAGTCTGACTGATGTTTGGGAGCAAATGTGTAATGAGAGCCCATAGGGGTATCTGTCCACATATCAGATGTGCACCACAGCAGCATGTGTGACTGATGCATAATACACACTTAAATGTCTTAGAATATTAAATTCTAAGAAAAACCAGAGTGCTGATTTTTCTGAGTTACTCTAATGCTTTTTGGAATATCCTTCCCAGGAAATGAAGTTTCCAGTTCTGCTTTCTTTCAGGTATGCTCCAGAATGTTTAATTCAGTGTAAGTTTTATATCGCCTCTGATGTCTGGTCTTTTGGAGTAACTCTGCATGAGCTGCTTACTTACTGTGATTCAGATTCCAGTCCCATGGCGGTAAGTCTTACTTGTCCTTCGTTTGAATCTAGCACCCACTTAAAATGTGTCCATCCTTCTGCTTTGTAAGTTTCATTCTTAAATGGAATCCAATCAGTGTGTCATAATGGAAAGGAAAATTGTCTTGGACTTTTCATTTTAAAGCCTTTTTATTGTTTTAATTTCCAATTCTAGATATTTTACTGTAATCTATCTGGTGTTTACATAAATATGTACAAAGTAAAATATTTTGTTTGGTTTTATTTTACATAGTTGTTCCTGAAAATGATAGGCCCAACTCATGGCCAGATGACAGTAACAAGACTTGTGAATACATTAAAAGAAGGAAAACGTTTGCCTTGTCCACCTAACTGTCCAGAAGAGGTATTTATGGGCCATTTCACAGTAATAAAACTCAGTTTTTACTGTTTTCACTGCTTGAATTGTCCAGCATGGGATTGGAGTGGGGGAGCAGGAATGAGTAGAAAACTCTTTTAAAATAGTTTTCTGAAGCTGAATTTCAGATAAGATAATCTGAGAAAATCATCTTTGGGGCAGATGACAGCCACAAGTTTTGTTCAAAGCAAGGGATTCCCTTCAGAAGTAGGCTCACCACAGTGAGCACCTTAAAGGAGCATATGTTGGTGTAGCCTTCCTGTGACAAACACATATCATTGCATTTTTGTGTGTAAGTTTATCTCACTTATCACAGCATTGTGACATCCAGTTTTCTGTATTTCTAACTGAACTGAGCCTTTAAGACTAATTCTGTAGACTATTCAAGATGTACTGAATAGTATGTTTAAGCCAAAGAATGAAGCCAGCCGGTAAGGAAATTTGGAGTCTAAACTGAGGTATAACTTCACCCTTAAACTGGTTTATAGTAATTAATGACCTGGATTGTTTTGCAAGGTCAGTTAAGTCATGAGCTTCTCAAATGTTAAAATGTTATTTATGAGCTATAGATGTGTCACATTTTCTGTATTTTAAGTTATTCAAATATTCTTGTTTTCTAGTATTACTAAGGGAAGTCATTCACATTTTCAAAATTATGTTCTTCTTGGTGTTTCTATAATTTTTTAAAAAAGCTCCTAAACATTTTTACTGTTATTTTTTCTTTTTACAGGTTTATCAGCTTATGAGAAAATGCTGGGAATTCCAACCATCCATTCGGACAACCTTTCAGAACCTTATTGAGGGATTTGAAGCGCTTCTAAAATAAGAAGCATGAATAACATTTAAATTCTACTGTGTATCAAGTCCTCCTACCCCCAACCAATACCCAAGCCATTTAAAAAAAAAATGTGTTCTAACTGGAAAAAGTTTGTATTCTGTCTAAAAAGATACTGGGGTACGTATCCTCGTATAAAGCACGCTGTGTGGTGCTTAATATGTGTAAGTACTTCCTCTTTAAATTTGGCACCAGTAACATAGTGACAAATAATGACAACCAAAATATTAGAAAGCACTTAAGCACTCCTCCTTTTGGAAAGAATATACCACTGTTTCGTCTGGTTAGTTTACTACTATCACAATTGAGTACCAGAATGGGATTTTTCAAAACAAGAGGAGCTGACCAAAGTAAAGTCTCAAGATGATTGCTTTTTCTTAGCTGCCAGTTGATGTGAAATGTTTTTCTGGCACAGAAATCAAAGATAAAGATTGATGGACTTGGCCAATACTCTAAGATGCCCTCAAATTTCAATATCTAAACAGTGATAGATGAAACATTCTTGAAATATTAGATACCAGTTAGTATACTGTTGTTGCTATACAAAAAGATGAGTGTATCCCTGTCAACAGCAGGACATAAACTTTGAGTTGTTTCTGCAGTGGCTTAGCTCCTGTCCCCTTGGGTGACCAGCGGAGCCCATTTTTGAGAAAACTGGTCATACCCAGGGGGGGCAGCTGTGGAATAGATACTTTGCTGCATGATGTTGATTCTTGAGAACTAAACCTGTGCCAGTGCTTCCCTAAACAGTATACCTTTAATCAATCAGAATTGATTCCAAGAACCTGGATGCTGTTATACCTGCTTTTCAGAAATGTCAATGTGTGTATCCTTTTATAACTCTACCACTTTGGGGCAAGCTGTGCCAGCATTGGTTTTGGATGCTGAATGCATATATACCATGTACATTGCACTGTTCTTAGTGTTTCAGTACTTACCATCCATCTACAAGAGTCGATCACTATTTTGACCATCACCCTATGGCGCAAAACTTGAAAGACCCAGCTAGAAGCACTATGGAGTTCAGGATCCACTAGGCAGTTTTCAGTTTGCTTGGAGGTAGCTGGGTAATCAAAAATGTCAAATCTCTGATTCATTGTGAACCATAAGATCTTTTTGACCAGGAGTCTGAAAAACTTTTTGTTCATGCTGTCTAGCATTTGTTTGATACCATTACTTTTCACCTTTGAGCCTGAAAAAGAGTTGTGTATTGATTCAATGGCAACAGCCATTCAAATTTGTCTAGTAACCCTACATCACCAAGATCTGTCCATCACCAAGATCTGTCTCAAACCTGTGGCCACCCTACATGCACTTTGTTTACTCTTTATACAAATAAATGTACTAGAGACTTCACATGCATGTGCCTTTTAATATTAAGAGTTCATTTTCAAAGCATTTCAAACAATTTGTTTACATAGAAAAATAACAGTATAGGCTGGGGGTGGGGAGAGCACTGGTAATGATCCTTATTACTAACACCACTTGATTTGTACTTATCTGTTGTGTCCCAGCAATAACGGGGCACAGGCCAGTGTGGGTGGCAGACCCACACTTGCTAACACAAAATACCTTTTAGTTCTTTCAACCTCTTCCTGCTTACATTTTTAAAATTCACCATCTTCCCTTTCTTCTATTTGTACGGTCATAGAGGTGTGACAAAGCACTGAAGAAGCTCAATGCAACAGGAAAATGGGAAGAAGTGCAGAGCATGGAGAACCCATGATTCATCTGCTGAGTCACAATTGAGTGATGCCTATCCTGATCAGTTATTTATAGGTAGTATACTTATTAGAAATTATCTAATAATTTAACTTTCTAGCTGTCATTTGCCAATAGAAGTTAACATAGGCAATACATTAGACCAAGTAAAATGCTTTACAAATCATACAACATGTGTACCAATTTTAAACTTCATAATTAAAACAGGAGAGAAACCTTCTATCATAGTCAATAAGTCCCCTAAATATAAGATATTTAATGATCTTATTTCAAAAAGACTAGGATCACTGAGACCCCCTAAACTCCACATCATCAATTAATGTCTCATAACAAAGGACAAACTTAGAAATTTCTAGATAGCAAAAGGGTTTCTCATGCATTTAATACCAAGGTCTTCAGGAAATGGTGATTCAAAAGTTATATGCAATAAACACAATTCTTTCGAAAGTAAATTGGGTTAAATAGCTGATAATTTTTCAGCCTAACACACTGAAAAAGAATAATAGACAAAGCAGAGAGTGAGGTATAGCTTATTATCTCAAAATGGTTATAAATACTGTTACTCCATAACACTCCTTCAGAAAGGGCAGGATTGACTGCTTTACTATATTGTGGAAATAGGGCATCTGATGACCAAAATGTGCCCTGTTCTAGTAAATGAATCATCACTATGCTATGAAATTAAGACACAGAAACCTATTGTTCCTTGCCACTTACAAATCTGTTGTAAAAGTTAAAGGTCTTTTTGTAGGTGTGAAGTAAAAGGATTAGGGAATTAATGGTATTAGATCAGGAGTCTGTGAACTTTATAAAGGGCCAGATAGTAAATATTTTAGGCTTTGCAGCCACTCAGTTCTGCCACTGTAGCACAGAAGTTAGCCATACATGATATGTAAGTGAATGAGCATGGTTGTGTTCCGATAAAATTTTATGTATGGACACTGAAATTTGAATTTCAAGTCATACATTTTTTTCCTCCAAACGTTTAAAAATGTAAAAAATATCATTCTTAGCTTGCAGGCAGTACAAAAACAGCTGGAGGACTGTTTTTTGACTGCAGGGAGTAGTTTGCCAGTCCCTGAAATTAGATCAGCAAAGCTACTTCAAAAGAAAAAACAACCTTGTGTTTTTCACAAGAGATATAAATGGTTAATAACATTAAGAGTAAAGCATCTGTAGTAGTGTATACCTTGGATGTCACTGTCACTGTGTTTGAGTTTTATACTGTATGACTGGTGTGGGGGTAATAATTAAGTTTATATGTAGAGCATCTTTATAACATTACCAATCACTGCATTGTGTACTTGCATTCTTGTAATTCTAGGAAAAATTCTAAAAATCTGAAATGAGATTACTTCTAGGGAAAGTATCGATAAACTGGAATGCACACTGGCTTATAAGAAATTTATTCTGGGGCTTCCCTGGTGGCGCACAGTGGTTGAGAGTCCGCCTGCTGATGCAGGGGACATGGGTTCGTGCCCCGTCTGGGAAGATCCCACGTGCCACGGAGCGGCTAGGCCTGTGAGCCACGGCCGCTGAGCCTGCACGTCCGGAGCCTGTGCTCCGCAACGGGAGAGGCCACAACAGTGAGAGGCCCGCGTACCGCAAAAAAAAAAAAAGAAAAGAAATTTATTCTAAGGCCCAGGAAACAAGGATGTTTCCCATTTATTGCTTCAAACTTTTATATGTGGTGTCAAAATTATTCCCAGTCCTAAACGAGGACTATTGGAACATGTTAATTTCTCCAATGGACTGTAAGTTAATAATCACATTGATTAAGATGCATCTAATTCTAGCGGAATATGTCCTCAATTGATGTCTCTTCTTATTGCTACTTATTTTTTTAATTTGGCAATTCTGCCTGCTGCACAACACAGTTCCTTCTGGGAAATTATAAACCCGTATTTAAAGGATATGGCTAGTTTGAATGTAGTTAAGGCAGCAATGAACAGCAGAGATACTGCAAAGAACCTTGAGTTTGTAAGGAGAGAACTTATCTCAGTACACTCGCTTCTTTTTTAAGTAGGTTTCCATGTAATATGCTCCTGTGCCCTGAGAATGCTGGTCAACAAATTCCACTGAACCACCTTCTGGGGCAGAGACGAGATATGATGAGCCTCGCTTTTCATTTCTTAAAGATGATACCTATTAGAAAAAGAAACCATAACTAATGCTAAAATCTGAATTAAAATTGGTTTGTTAAAGATATTTATAAGAAAAGCAATTCTACTGTGGTTTGGTGTAAAAACAGAATAGCAGGATAAATAACAAAGTTATCAAAAAAACTGCACAAAAAATTTCTATATCAAAATCACTTGTGGAACTTTTGAAAAATACAAACCAGCTTCTTAAGGCCGTCTCTCCCCTACTCCCCACATTTTCAGGAAAGAAAAAGTGACACTGTAGTTGCTTCTGCTGTTTGTACATAGTTAAACCCCAGTGAATCAGAATACCAGTACTGGATACCAGTATTCCTCTGAGGAAGGAGCATGGCTAAGGAATTGAACTGCATATCAACTTAGATGTTAAGTTCATCTAGTAATAAAAGATGTGGCAAGAGAAGAATAAACCAGTAGGTATGAAAACTAGCAAATGATGTCAGCAAAATAGCTAGTGAAATGTTCTAGAGAGCAATATGAACTCAAACTTTAGTCCACAAGTGTTCATGATAAGAAGGGCCAAAATGTTCCTCACAAGTAGTCACAGTACATTAAATCAGATTATATAGCACAACCCTATGACCACCTAATTCCTCTGTTTTAGCTTTTACAAATACTGTGTGACAAACTTACTTACTGAAGAATTATGTAACTTACTATACACGAGTGTAGAAATGACTCATAAGGAAAGCTTCTAGCAATGCAGAAGAGCCCTCTCACATTACAATTAAAATTACAATAGTATTTGAACCAACAATGGCCACAATTTTTAAAACCAGCTTCAACTTCAGAGGGGACAGATGATGAGTCTGTCTGCCCTTGTAGATAAAGCAGTTCTCAGTCATCCATGTTAAGAAGAGGGATAAGGTAGAGATGACCAAGAAGGCTCCAGAGCTCCCCTCCTTCCATGGATGTGCCATATGTACAGCTACACCTGGAACAGTTCCCTCTAAAAGAGATCCAGAAACTAGCTGGGCAGCTCCTACATACTAAACAAATGAGAAAATAAATACCCACACGAAAATGGGTAGGAAAGGCCAATATACACCCCAACCCTGGCACAGGACTGTGCATCAGGAGAGAATTCCCAATTCTTAGCTTCTCCCTGAGGAGTGAAGGGTTTAGATTCCACATCTAGTGCTCCAACTTCTAAGACTCCCACTGGAGGTATGGGTTCCCAAAATACCTAGCTCTGAAAGCCAGCAGGGCTTGTGTTCATGAGATCCACAAGGCTATAGATAATAAAAAAGCATTCTTAATGGGCACACAGCACACACTGTGACTGTCCCCTCAGAGGGAGCAGGCAGAATTGCCCATCTCCCAGTCCTCCCCTGAAAGAAGTTCATCTGCACATTTTAAAAGCTGCTGCCTAAGGCCGGGCTCCTAATCTAGCAGGTGCTAGGAGCAGCAGCAATCTTCCCCAGAGACTGGGGAAGCTGAAGGACACCTCTCCCACCTTCTCCTTCCAGCTCACTCCAGTCACTAGTATCTCCCTGCAAGGAGCTTGTACACGTCTCTACCATGTCTGACACCCAAGGAATAGTCCCTGGGTCATCTGGCTCTGATAGCCAGTTGGGGCCTGCATTCATGAATTCCACTGGGCTGTAGCAAACAAAAATAAATACAATTCTTAATGGGTGCAGGAGCTCCCTTCCCACCATGCCCTGGTGATTGTACACCTGTGCTCAGCACGAAGGGAACAGGGGGGAAAAAATGCCCATTTACTTTTCTCCCTGGACAGGGCTTAACTATCAATACATACTTTCTCAGCTGCAGCCTCAGGGTCCAGGTTCTAATCCGTCTGCATCTAGGTGCTAATTGCAGCCCCTGCCTTTGGATACACAGACAGGTCTTAGCATACCCTCTAAAAAAGCCACTAAAAGCAAAGAAGGAGGCTCAGACAGTCACAAAAGGTTGAGAGACAACTAAGAGCTCAGGCTGGGCTGAACGACCATCTCCTACAAGAGACCATCCAAGACTGGAAGAGGTGGCTGTTTTATATAATGCATAGACACCAATAAAGGAAGAAATGAAGATACAATGTTCCAAACAAAAGGCCACGATTAATATCCAAAGCAGATCTTGACAAAACAAAGTGACTTACCTGGGAGAGTTCAAAATAATGGTTGTAAAGATGCGCACCCAGGTCGAGAGCAATGAATGAACAAAGAATTTGAATAGAAAGAGAAAATATTTAAAACTACCAAATAGAAATCACAGAATTGTTGAATGTAACTGAACTGAAAAGTTCAATAGAGGGATTCAACATCAGACTAGATTAATCACGGGAAAGGATCAGCAAACTTGAAGACAGGTTAGCGGAATTCATCCCATCTGAGTTGCAAAAAGGAAAAATAATTATAAAAGTTACGATAGCTTAAGGGACTTATGGGACACCATCAAATGGACCAATAAGAGGTCCCAGAAGGAAAAAGAGATAAAGGGGCAGAAAACTTTTTCAAAATATTAATGGCTGAAAACTTCCCTAATCTGGGGAAACACACATCCAGATCCAGAAAGCCTAGAGAGTAACAAACAAGATGGATCCAAAGAGACCCACAATGAGACACATAAATTATATTCAAAGTGCTAAAAGAAAAAAACTGCCAACCAAGAGTACCTGGCTAAGTTGTCCTTCAGAATTGAAAACGAGTTTTCCAGACAAAAGCTGAAGGAGTTCATCACCACTAGACCAGCCTTACATGAAATGTTAAAGGGAGTTCTTCAAACTGACATGGACGGAGGCTTAGTTTTCTTTAGTAACAGGAAAACATATGAAAGTATGAAACCACTGGTAAAGATATATACTTAAATTCAGAAAACTGACAAAAAAAAAAACTATACAAACATTTGTCAATGGATACACAATGTAAAAAGGTACAAACTGTGCCATCAAATAAATGGGGGTGGCAGAGCTGTGTTCATTTGAAGTTATCAGCTTAGACTATTATATATTATATAACATATATATAAGATGTTTTATGTAAGCCTCATGGTAACCACAAGACAAAAGCCTAAAGTAGGGATGTAAAAGAGCAAAGAATCAAAGCATACAATTATAGAGAATTAGCAAATCACAGAGACAGCAAGGGAGGAAGAAGGGAACAGAGAAATCACAAAACAACCAGAAAACAATTAACAAAATGGCAATAGTAAATCCACAACTACATTACTTTAACCCACACACCTATAGTCAACTAATCTACAACAAAGGAGGCAGGAATCTACAATGGAGAAAAGACAGTCTGTTCAACAAGTGTTGCTGGGAAAACCGGACAGCCACGTGCAAACCAATGAGATTAGAACATTCTCTCATACCATATATAAAAATAAACTCAAAAATGGATTAAAGACCTAAACATAAGAATGGAAATCATAAAATTCCTAAAAGAGAACATACGCAGAATACTGACGTAAATCATAGCAGTATTTTCTTGAATCAGTCCCTAAGGCCAAAAAACAAACCAAAAAAAAAAATAAATGGGACCTAATTAAACTTAAAAGCTTTTGCACAGCAAAAGAAACCATTAAAATGAAAAGACAGCCTACAGAATGGGAGGGAAAATTTGTGAATGATGTGACCGACAGGGAATTAATATCCAAAATACACAAACAGCTCATACAACTCAATAGCAAAAAAAAAAAAAACCCAATCAAAAAAATAGGCAGAAGACCTGAAAAAACATTTTTCTGAAGAAGACATACGGATAAAAGAGCACATGAAAAGATGCTCAACATTATTAGAGAAATACAACATCAAAACAATAAGGTAGGGCTTCCCTGGTGGCGCAGTGGTTAAGAATCTGCCTGCCAGTGTAGGGGACACAGGTTCGATCCCTGGCTTGAGAAGATCCCACATGCCACAGAGCAGCTAAGCCCATGCACCACAACTACTGAGCCTGTGCTCTAGAGCCTGCAAGCCACAACTACTGAGCCCACGCACCTACAGCCTGTGCTCCGTAACAAGAAAAGCCACAACAATGAGAAGCGTGCACAACGCAACGAAGAGTAGCCCCCACTCGCTGCAACTAGAGAAAGCCCGCGCACAGCAACGAAGACCTAACACAGCCAAAAAAGAAAAAAAACACAAAAAAACGAGATACTATCTCACACTTGTTAGAATGGTTACCATCAAAAAGTCTACAAATAACATGTCAGAAAGGATGTAGAAAAAAGGGAACCCTCGTACACTGCTGGTGAGAATGTAAGTTGGTGCAGCCACCACGGAAAACAGTATGGACATTCCTCAAAAAACTAAAAGAGAACTACCATACGATCCAGCAATTCTACTCCCTGGGTATATATTGGAGAAAAATGAAAATGCCTATTCAAGAAGTTACATACAGCCCAATGTTCATAGGCAGCAACAATGAATCATTTGGCCAGAAAAATCAAAAGAGCCAAGACATGGGAGCAACTCAAGTGCCCATCAACAGATGATTAGATTAAAAAGATGTGACTATATATATATATGTATGTACACACAATGGAATATTACTCAGCCATAAAAAAGAATAAAATCCTGCCACTTGCAGCAATGTGGATGGTCCTAGGGAATATTATGGTTAGTGAAATAAGTCAGAAAGACAAATGCTACCGATATACAAATGGAATCTAAAAAATAATACAGATGAATGTATATGCAAAACAGAAACAGACTAACAGATACAGAAAAACTGGTTACCAAAGGAGAGAGGGAAGGGAGGAGGGATAAGTTAGGGGTATGGGATTAACAGATACAAACTACTATGTATAAAATAGATAAGCTGGGCTTCCCCGGTGGCACAGTGGTTAAGAATCCTCCTGCCAATGCAGGGGACACGGGTTCGAGCCCTGGTCTGGGAAGATTCCACATGACGCAGAGCAACTAAGCCCGTGTGCCACAACTACTGAGCCTGTGCTCCAGAGCCTGCGACCTACAACTCCTGAAGCCCAGCGCCTAGAGCCCATGCTCCGCAACAAGAGAAGCCACCATAATGAGAAGCC